AGTGCATCCTATTTTGAAATCATTGTATGTGACTATGCTCTCTGGTGATCATGGAGGACTTGTGTACCACTTGAGTACTAACATTCAGAGCCCACAAACCCAATTTGTGACTCAACTTCCATGATTATATGTGCAGGTTTTGAGGTGATTGTCCATAGGTTGTTGAGTTTAGATGGAAAATTCATCCAACTTTGATGAAAACTCTGATGTGGGGTACCAACCTTCACATTCTTCTGTGGATCAAAATGACCATTCAATCACTGAAACTGTTGGATACTCCACATTCAGTGGAGATTCCTTTGCGTATTGCAGGACTAACTCTGAGGTCTCAAACTTCTCTGAGCCTATTGATGACAATAGCTTTAGAAGTGAACATTCACCTTCTCTATGGACACCTGTGAAACATGGAGCAAGTCAAGCTGTTCTTTCAAGGTTAGGAATGAAGCAACCCAGGAACTCAATGGATGATAAATCTGAGGATCTTGATCTCTTGGAGTCAGGTTGATTTGCACTCTGAGCTTGTGAATTTTTCCTATGTGACAATGTGGAATTATCTTGAAACTCAATCAATTTTGTGGGTGTTTATAGAGCTTGATATGATGAGGGAAAGATTTTCAAAGCTTCTATTGGGGGAAGACATGTCTGGTGGTGGGAAAGGTGTTTGCACTGCAGTTACAATATCAAATTCAATCACCAACCTCTATGGTAATATCTTTTTCAACAGTATTTGGTCCAATGATGTGACTCTGGTTTAATTTATTTGAAATGGGAATTTGCAGCAACTGTTTTTGGGCAAAATTTAAAGTTGGAGCCTCTTAATCCAGAGAAGAAGGCCATGTGGAAAAGAGAAATGAATTGTCTCCTATCTGTGTGTGATTACATAGTAGAATTTGCCCCAACTGCACAATATTTAGAAGATGGTACAATTGTGGAGGTGAACTATTGCTTAACCCCTTTTATACAAGGTTAATGGAGCTTGTTCTTCATCTCACAATGTCTTATATGCTATCTGATGTTGTATTGTATCTCAGATGATGACAAGTAGACCAAGGTCAGATATTTATATCAACCTCCCAGCTCTTCAAAAGCTTGACACAATGCTCATAGTAAGGCAAACTTCAATTGCTTCTTGTTTTTGACAACCCTGTTTTCGTCCAAAGATTTTGTGCCTTACAAATGTTGTTTCATGTTCTTTTATCAGGAAATATTGGACAGTTTCCATGATACTGAATTTTGGTATGCAGACCAAGGGAGTTTATCAGGTAACTCAACTCGGTCACGTGCAGGCTCATTTCGAAGGATTGTTCAGAGGAAAGATGAGAAATGGTGGCTTCCAGTTCCTTGTGTTCATCCTGGAGGCCTCACTGAAAAGTCAACAAAACACTTGAGTGAGAAAAGAGACTGTGCTAATCAGATTCATAAAGCAGCTATGGCTATAAATAGCAGTGTTCTTGCAGAGATGGACATCCCAGAAACATATATGGCAAATCTTCCCAAGGCAAGTCATCATATTCAATTATTGTTGTTAGAGGTACAATATTGAAAGGTAAAAATATCACATCGACTGAAAATAAGACGAGTTTATAGTATAGAAGTGGATACAAACCTCACTTTATAAACTGGTTTTATAAGGTTGAGATAAATTTAACGTTCAGTTTTTAACCGAAAGAATCAATCTACGTATCAAATTCAAAAAGAATTAAGAAAGATAAAGTTAGTGCAGAAGGAAAAGGAAAAGTGTTTGACATGAAAGTGAAACCAAGAGTGTTTTGAGTTTTCTAAAATTTTGTTTGTTGTTCTCTTGTCTAACATTAGAGTGGAAGAGCAAGTCTGGGGGACACAATTTACCGCTATATGTATTCTGCAGACAAGTTCTCACCAGATTACCTTCTTGATTGTCTCAAAATAAGTTCTGAACATGAAGCACTTGAGCTGGCAGACAAGGTTGAGTCTTCAATGTTCACTTGGAGGAGAAAAGCTTGTCTGAGCCATTCAAAAACATCATGGAACAAAGTTAAGGATCTCATGGCTGACACTGACCGAAGTGACAAAAACTACACTTTAGCTGAGAGAGCTGAAACCTTGTTGTTTTGCTTGAAGCAAAGATATCCTGAGCTCTCACAAACATCCTTGGACACATGCAAGATTCAATATAACAGGGTAAGTTTAACAATGAAGTTGCTCAAGTTATCAGCACAGAAAGACACTAACATGGTTCTTTTAACAAATGTAGAACATTTTAGGATACCATGATAGGAATATATCTATTGTGGAATGAGAACTTGCAGATCTCTAGATTGTGAACTCATGCACTGAGAATGAATATTAACTTTTGCAGGATGTTGGAAAGGCAATATTAGAGAGCTACTCAAGAGTATTAGAAGGCTTAGCATTCAACATTGTAGCTTGGATTGAAGATGTTCTTCATGCAGATAAATCAGCAAGGAAATAAAATGTATAGAAACATTAACCACACTGTAGCCCCTTAACACTGGTGTTATTTTCATTCAGCAATTTTTTGTATACTATATGGCCTTAGGAGAAGTTATGATAAATGTTAGTTGTTACTAGTTAACTGTGCTACAGGAAGAGTTTTCACATTCAGCTGAAGGATCAAGAGTAATTTATATAATCTTCTGTTCCATAAATAAAAGAAAAACAATTTTATATTAGTGTAGTTGCTGGCAAATGCTTTGTCAGAAGTGTGGAGGAATTAAAGGCAATATTGTTAAATAATTGTGTTTGAGATAGAAGTGAGAATTAAGTTATTTCAGTAATCTATTGTATATATGATTGGTTAGTGTTGCAATGGATGCTATTGAAAGTAAGCTTTTGTTTAAATAATATGCTGAAAACTGGTTCAAGATGATAATTATAACTAGTCAATTTTCAGATTCATAAAATGAGCTGAAATTTTTTAAACTAATCTTCTCCAAACATCTCACTGTATCATTCATTGATCATAATACAAACTGAGACAGCAAAAACACTCTAAATAACACGGCCAAATTTATCATCTTCCACTACTTCCATGGAAGTACTCCTCCACTCTTAAAGAAAGTCAACGTTCGTTTTGGCCTGCATGAAAATAAAAGTTGAATACAGAAATAACAGGAAAACAAATTATTCAAAGAACATGTTATGTATTAATGTTGTAAGTTTTACATACAACGCCAAAATATAATATATATATATATATATATATATATATATATATATATATATATAAATTTCATCTTTTGTAAGATTGAGTTATACTTAATTCTAATATCAAGTATAATTGGTTTGTTGTTTGTTGTAGTTTGTATCTTTTTTATCATTTATTAAATAATTAAATATATATATATAGATAGATCTTCAATAAAATCAAGACATAATAATTTCGTAACTTATCATCTATTTATATTATAAACTTTACCAAGACATTTGTTTCACTCAAACATTTTTGCATGTTTCAAATGAAAGTGATAATGTTTACAGTGTTTCACCTCCACCTCCAAAATTTTACTAAATGTCCATATTATCCTATAATTAAAACGTTTTTAATATTTAAAAATCAGAAAATCAAGAATGGTGAAATATTCTTTTTTAATTACAGCAGCAGTAGCATTCGTCAGTGGTGCATTCATATTCTCTCGGATAGCATTTCCATTCTCGTGCTTCCTTCCCTACGATTTCTTCTTCTTCTCTTTTTCTTTTGCATTGTAGCACACAGAACACTGCTTCCTGAGCTTTCCTCTTCCTCTTTTCTTATCTTTACATCCCAACCTGAAAATAACTTCTGCCTCTGTACTAATTTTTCACTATAACATACCTCTCCTCTATCACCTAATTATCACCAACGCTCACATCACTTTACCTCCTCATTTGCGGCAACCCTGGAGCTGCTCTTCCACAATATTGTCTTCACTGGTGAAATACCATCTTCTTTTCCTCCTCAACTTACTTCCATTAAAAAGACTTCCCAACAAAGGAGCCTATTTGTATTCATCCAGGGTTACACTTTTCGTAACCCAATCATAAACCACAAACACCACCATCCAACACAACATCCAAACTCATTCTACACACCACACACAAGATCAGTTTTGCCTTTTTGTTTTAAGTTAGGCCCATTTTTTTTCCTATCCTTTAGAGAGTTTTGGGTGTTTTACCTTACACCTCGAATCCTTTCATCCTATATCTCTAAACTTTAACAAAATTCCTATTTCGTCTCTAATTAAAAGCTGTTTTAATTTTTATTGAAACCGAAAAGAATCTAGTCAAAGATTGTTCAACAGTTTCATTAGTTTTGTTTAAGAGATTTTAGGTTTTTGGTTTTCTCACCCAGCATAACACTCACATTCCCTCATTTTCTCTTCTTTCTTACACAGCACACACAAGAAGCTTTCTTCTTCATGGTGTGGATTTCTTCTTATATTCAATATCTGATTTCTTACTTAAACTTTTTCCATATTAACTTTTGTTGTTCAACAAGTGAGATTATGTACGTTGGATCCCAGTCACTCGTTTGGTTTAGAATAAATATCAGTTTATTTAAATTTAAACTAAATTTTTGAATAAATAATTTTTTAAATAATTACTTATTTAAGAAGCAAACAGAATTTTCTTATCAAAATAAGGAAAATATTATTATTATGATAAATAGATTAGGAAAATAGATAAAAAAAATAGATAAAAAAATAGATATGCAATTATTTTATGAAATATACATTTTTAAGAAATTAAACTCAAACACTCGTCTAGAAATCATTCATTTTTATCATTTGACGTGATAATGCCATATAAATGAAAATCACAATTGCGCTTAAATATATTATTATTTTAAATATTTTATTTTATCTTCAATTTTGATTATATATTTAAATGATTTAATTAAGTTTTAAATATACCATAAAATTTAAGTACTTATTCATATTAAATTTGTTTATTTACTATTCAATATTATTTAATTATAATTAAAATGGAAATAGACGAAATAAGATCAGGAGGCTCATTTTTCTTCTACTATTCTTCTATTCTATTTTCTGGTTTCTCTCTTCTCTCCCTCTCTTTTCTCTTTGGTTTTCTTTTTTTAAAAAACCCTAGAGAGACGAAAGGAAGGGTTGCGGCGTTAGTGAGAGTAAAGAGTAAAGAGCATTCCATGACCGTTTGGGATGAAGGAGTGAGAAACACTGAGAGAGGGAGTGGTGGTATATCAGAGAGGAGATGTTAAAATTGGGAGACAACGATGGAAAGCGAAAGTAGGATTTTGGAGTAAGGGAAGAAATCGGAAAAGGTATGGGGAGCTTGTCTTTCTTGTTTTAATAAGCTGTAAACGTTTGAAAACAATTGGTGTTCGTGGTTTGATTCTTTGGAACCGTTTCGATATGTTGGTTGTTCCAAAAATTATAGATATATGTTGTTATGCTATCAGGAGCTATCTTGGTTTGAATTGGTTGTTCGAAATGTGATAATGTATAATTTTTATTGATTTGTATTTTTTTTGCTACATGGGAATCTTAATGGGTATTATCTCTGTTAAGTAGAAAAGTCAATATGATAGTTTTGTGGGTGGAAATGGATATATCATGTGTTTTAATTTATAATTGTAAATTAAGAATTTGATATTCATAGTGGATATAATTATGAGATGGAATAATAGGTGTACGCTTGGGGATGTTTAAAGGGTTAAATTGGGTTGTATGAATTCTTTTGAATTAGTTCATATTGAAGTTGAATGGTCTTGTTATAATCTGGAAATTTGTGTACCTTGGATGAAGGTTTTGGTTGTTTCCGGTTTCATTGAAATATGAAAAGAGTTGGGTATTACAAGTAGGTTGTCTTAGGTGTTAATAAAATGATGGGTAATTTTATGGTTTGGATTCATTTATTTAATATGTTGTAGAACAATGATTATGGGGAGCTAAATCTCATTGAAATGCCATTTGTGATTGTTAAAGAAATTGCGAAATGGTATCCTTATCAATTTGGTTGAATTGAAATGACTTGATTGAATGAGTGAATGAATTGTTATACCCTGATGAATATTCGGTTTAATGAGTTTGTGTGTGGATAATGTGAAAGACTACATGATAAGTTGTGCATAATTGTGTGGATAAATTTTATTAACCTTATCATCTTGTGATTCTTGGTTAAACCATTGTCTCGGTACGTTTTTGATATAATGTGATTGTGATTATATTAAAATCTTGAAAGAATTATAATGAACAAAAGGATGATGTGTTATTGGTTCTATGATTGATAGATTCAAATGTGTATAGATATAAATCTATAACTTGAACAATGTAAATGTATTTAACTTAGCTAATTTTATAATTTCGAGAATACATGAATTGTATAAGAGGTTGTATTAATTGTACGTGCTCATTGGTATGTCTTGTTTGTTTTAATAGAAAGGAAATTAAATGTGATCGATAATATCTTGTAAATGGGCAATTAAAGTAGTATGAATAGTTAGGATTCATGGGAAGAATTGTCTGATGTTCTGTATGGTCATATTGGGTTACTCTATTTTACTGAATCATTCATAGGTATTACGGGGTATTGCATTTGATTAAAATATTGCTGCTGTCCAGAATTTTATTTTGTTGTTGCTGTTTAAATTTTGTGCAATTGCTGTATCAGAATTCTGCACTTTCTGTCATTACTGTTTGCTGTTTTTAGCACTGATTGCTTGCTGTTTTCTGTAATGTTGCTGGCTGTTTCAGCATTTTTTCCTTGCTGTTTTATACCAGTAAATTTTGCTGTATTGGACTGTTGTGATTGTTGTTGCCANATATATATATATATATATATATATATATATATATATATATAAATTTCATCTTTTGTAAGATTGAGTTATACTTAATTCTAATATCAAGTATAATTGGTTTGTTGTTTGTTGTAGTTTGTATCTTTTTTATCATTTATTAAATAATTAAATATATATATATAGATAGATCTTCAATAAAATCAAGACATAATAATTTCGTAACTTATCATCTATTTATATTATAAACTTTACCAAGACATTTGTTTCACTCAAACATTTTTGCATGTTTCAAATGAAAGTGATAATGTTTACAGTGTTTCACCTCCACCTCCAAAATTTTACTAAATGTCCATATTATCCTATAATTAAAACGTTTTTAATATTTAAAAATCAGAAAATCAAGAATGGTGAAATATTCTTTTTTAATTACAGCAGCAGTAGCATTCGTCAGTGGTGCATTCATATTCTCTCGGATAGCATTTCCATTCTCGTGCTTCCTTCCCTACGATTTCTTCTTCTTCTCTTTTTCTTTTGCATTGTAGCACACAGAACACTGCTTCCTGAGCTTTCCTCTTCCTCTTTTCTTATCTTTACATCCCAACCTGAAAATAACTTCTGCCTCTGTACTAATTTTTCACTATAACATACCTCTCCTCTATCACCTAATTATCACCAACGCTCACATCACTTTACCTCCTCATTTGCGGCAACCCTGGAGCTGCTCTTCCACAATATTGTCTTCACTGGTGAAATACCATCTTCTTTTCCTCCTCAACTTACTTCCATTAAAAAGACTTCCCAACAAAGGAGCCTATTTGTATTCATCCAGGGTTACACTTTTCGTAACCCAATCATAAACCACAAACACCACCATCCAACACAACATCCAAACTCATTCTACACACCACACACAAGATCAGTTTTGCCTTTTTGTTTTAAGTTAGGCCCATTTTTTTTCCTATCCTTTAGAGAGTTTTGGGTGTTTTACCTTACACCTCGAATCCTTTCATCCTATATCTCTAAACTTTAACAAAATTCCTATTTCGTCTCTAATTAAAAGCTGTTTTAATTTTTATTGAAACCGAAAAGAATCTAGTCAAAGATTGTTCAACAGTTTCATTAGTTTTGTTTAAGAGATTTTAGGTTTTTGGTTTTCTCACCCAGCATAACACTCACATTCCCTCATTTTCTCTTCTTTCTTACACAGCACACACAAGAAGCTTTCTTCTTCATGGTGTGGATTTCTTCTTATATTCAATATCTGATTTCTTACTTAAACTTTTTCCATATTAACTTTTGTTGTTCAACAAGTGAGATTATGTACGTTGGATCCCAGTCACTCGTTTGGTTTAGAATAAATATCAGTTTATTTAAATTTAAACTAAATTTTTGAATAAATAATTTTTTAAATAATTACTTATTTAAGAAGCAAACAGAATTTTCTTATCAAAATAAGGAAAATATTATTATTATGATAAATAGATTAGGAAAATAGATAAAAAAAATAGATAAAAAAATAGATATGCAATTATTTTATGAAATATACATTTTTAAGAAATTAAACTCAAACACTCGTCTAGAAATCATTCATTTTTATCATTTGACGTGATAATGCCATATAAATGAAAATCACAATTGCGCTTAAATATATTATTATTTTAAATATTTTATTTTATCTTCAATTTTGATTATATATTTAAATGATTTAATTAAGTTTTAAATATACCATAAAATTTAAGTACTTATTCATATTAAATTTGTTTATTTACTATTCAATATTATTTAATTATAATTAAAATGGAAATAGACGAAATAAGATCAGGAGGCTCATTTTTCTTCTACTATTCTTCTATTCTATTTTCTGGTTTCTCTCTTCTCTCCCTCTCTTTTCTCTTTGGTTTTCTTTTTTTAAAAAACCCTAGAGAGACGAAAGGAAGGGTTGCGGCGTTAGTGAGAGTAAAGAGTAAAGAGCATTCCATGACCGTTTGGGATGAAGGAGTGAGAAACACTGAGAGAGGGAGTGGTGGTATATCAGAGAGGAGATGTTAAAATTGGGAGACAACGATGGAAAGCGAAAGTAGGATTTTGGAGTAAGGGAAGAAATCGGAAAAGGTATGGGGAGCTTGTCTTTCTTGTTTTAATAAGCTGTAAACGTTTGAAAACAATTGGTGTTCGTGGTTTGATTCTTTGGAACCGTTTCGATATGTTGGTTGTTCCAAAAATTATAGATATATGTTGTTATGCTATCAGGAGCTATCTTGGTTTGAATTGGTTGTTCGAAATGTGATAATGTATAATTTTTATTGATTTGTATTTTTTTTGCTACATGGGAATCTTAATGGGTATTATCTCTGTTAAGTAGAAAAGTCAATATGATAGTTTTGTGGGTGGAAATGGATATATCATGTGTTTTAATTTATAATTGTAAATTAAGAATTTGATATTCATAGTGGATATAATTATGAGATGGAATAATAGGTGTACGCTTGGGGATGTTTAAAGGGTTAAATTGGGTTGTATGAATTCTTTTGAATTAGTTCATATTGAAGTTGAATGGTCTTGTTATAATCTGGAAATTTGTGTACCTTGGATGAAGGTTTTGGTTGTTTCCGGTTTCATTGAAATATGAAAAGAGTTGGGTATTACAAGTAGGTTGTCTTAGGTGTTAATAAAATGATGGGTAATTTTATGGTTTGGATTCATTTATTTAATATGTTGTAGAACAATGATTATGGGGAGCTAAATCTCATTGAAATGCCATTTGTGATTGTTAAAGAAATTGCGAAATGGTATCCTTATCAATTTGGTTGAATTGAAATGACTTGATTGAATGAGTGAATGAATTGTTATACCCTGATGAATATTCGGTTTAATGAGTTTGTGTGTGGATAATGTGAAAGACTACATGATAAGTTGTGCATAATTGTGTGGATAAATTTTATTAACCTTATCATCTTGTGATTCTTGGTTAAACCATTGTCTCGGTACGTTTTTGATATAATGTGATTGTGATTATATTAAAATCTTGAAAGAATTATAATGAACAAAAGGATGATGTGTTATTGGTTCTATGATTGATAGATTCAAATGTGTATAGATATAAATCTATAACTTGAACAATGTAAATGTATTTAACTTAGCTAATTTTATAATTTCGAGAATACATGAATTGTATAAGAGGTTGTATTAATTGTACGTGCTCATTGGTATGTCTTGTTTGTTTTAATAGAAAGGAAATTAAATGTGATCGATAATATCTTGTAAATGGGCAATTAAAGTAGTATGAATAGTTAGGATTCATGGGAAGAATTGTCTGATGTTCTGTATGGTCATATTGGGTTACTCTATTTTACTGAATCATTCATAGGTATTACGGGGTATTGCATTTGATTAAAATATTGCTGCTGTCCAGAATTTTATTTTGTTGTTGCTGTTTAAATTTTGTGCAATTGCTGTATCAGAATTCTGCACTTTCTGTCATTACTGTTTGCTGTTTTTAGCACTGATTGCTTGCTGTTTTCTGTAATGTTGCTGGCTGTTTCAGCATTTTTTCCTTGCTGTTTTATACCAGTAAATTTTGCTGTATTGGACTGTTGTGATTGTTGTTGCCACATTAAAATCTTTGTTGTATTGGGCTGTTTTGACTGCTGTGATGTAGTAAAATCCTGGCTGTTTTGATTGTTGTTACTGCATTAAAATCCTTGTTGTATTAGACTGTTCTGACTGTTGTGTCTGCACTAAAACATTGTTGTTTTGTAACTTTATTGGGTTGTTTTACCCATATTACAACACTTCTGTTTTGAGCTAGTTGAATCATGGTTGGTGTAGGAATCGAGATTGTATGGTTTATACATTCATGCTTTTGCTAGAGTTGAGTTAAGAATTGGTTTATTGTGATATAATTATTTTGAACCACTGATGCTGGTTGGTTACATATGCTTGATATAACTTATATGGAATGGTCAAACTAATTGTTGATTGTGCTGTTATGAAGTATGTTAAGAGGATTGGTTGCGGTGATCTTATTTTTTTATCTGTCAAAGGTACATTAGATGTGCTATATGTATTATTTGTTGCTGGTGTATGGTTGCTATGACACGTTGAGAAATCTTTTGTATTACACAAAGTGATATTTGGACCTTAAAGGTTAGGACAATTATGTTAAAAGTCTTCTGTCATTTGTGAGATGGCTAGAGAATTACTCTTCAATTACTCAAGAGTAGTAAGTGGCCTATAGAGTTAGTTTGAATACTCTTAAGGTTAAGGTCTATCTTCCGCATGCAAGAAGTAGTGGAAAGGAGCTCTCTTCAGTTTGTGAGAGACAATAAGAGTGGGTTTGAGTATCGTTGCTTGTTTATTCTTATTATATAATATTTATGCTAGTTGGATGCCTAGCTCACCTATATATTGTTTGTGTTGTTTATGTCGGTTACGATGATCGTATAATGTATGGGTTATGCGGGACTGGAGCTATATGATTGATGAGAGAGGGGTTTACTATGTGAGTTTGCTTTCAAAGTTTTATTTACTTATGAAAATGATTTGTAATACTTTCTTGATTTTCTTTAATTATATTGCAAAATTATAAGATTTTGATGCACTTAAGTGACTCCCAGATTTGGAACATTACATTAATGGTATCAGAGCAATGATTTTGGGGCTTTGGGGAGTGAGCTCATCTAGGTTCTAATGTGTGACTCTGATGTTATAGTGTTACATGATATGTAATGCTTAGTGGAAATGTTTGGTGATTGCTTACATTGTTTGGTTCTATGCTTGAATGTTGAACGAAATTGATGGTGCTGTTAGTGATCCTGATGTGGTTATTGGGTGGCTGATAATTCCTAACCTCTGCATAACAGATGTTCTGTTTTAGAATCCAAGAAAAACCAAAGTGGGCCTTAGTTAACAACAGGTCTTTTTGAGCAGAATTGAATTTAATTCAATAGTAGAACAAGATTATTAAACCTAAAGTTACTTTCTGATTAATTGTAATTAGTTGTTTTCGGCTTGTTCCTTAATTTCATAGTTTCTAGTTCTTTAATTTACTTTTGCTGCTATGTTAGTGATATGTTACAGCTTAAATTACATTCGTTGCATCTTACCCTTCATCGCCCAATTGTTAAATCTTTACATTTTCATTTGAGTATGCATTGGGAATTCTAGTTTCTGCATAATATAATTAACAGTCTGTTTTAGCATTTACCCAACAGAGGATTTTTTTGGGTTTCACTAATCTTTTAGTTGAACTAGTTGTAGTTCAATATTGAGTTGGTTACATCATTGACATACCATTTAAGTCATCTTACTACATAGACATTGCATTCACATTTTCTTACCTAAGGTTGCCATGCTTATGGTTTTAACATTGGTTTCAAAATGTGATTTTGAGTTCTGCATATATTTCTCCTGATCACTTTGCACTTTTAATATCTTCTCATAATTCCAGACTTGTTCAAAACATTGCATCTGTATAAATAGTACTTTAGGTTCATAGAGGCATTCATTCAAACAGTTTAATAAAAGCTGCATACAGCTCCAATATTGTTTTAATATTACGAATAAATATAATTGTATGAATAATGTGATTAAATATGAACCTGTACCTTGAATGAATGTCCGTGAAAATGAATAGGAATTTTGTTGAGATGATGAATTATAGTTTAAAAAGAAAATAAGATTGTGTGGAAGGTTAAAGTGCAGATTTCAAAGAGGAATAAATGACTTTAATTTGTGAATGTGTAGTAGTTTTATTTTCGAAAAGATGTTGGTTGAGTCTAGACGTGAGAACTGATATATAGATGGTATGGGATAGAAATAATACTGTACGAATGGAAGGAGAGTAAAGGATTTATGATTGTTTGAAATTAGAATGAACAAATGTTTTACTACATTGTTGGAACAACTGGATGTTGGAAAGATGTGGAATCTAGTGTTGATTAGTGATCATTAATTTTTTTACGAATGGTAGTAATGTGTGGCTGGATGGTGTGAGGTGATTGGTTTATAAAGTGAATGTTAATTACATTCCAAAGTGTATAGTCTGTTTGTTATTCTTTAAATTCTACTTTGGACATAACCGGTTATGCAATATTATTTGGAGGTGACTAGTATAAATAAATATATTACTAGTTGATAATGAAAGAAAGGTAATGGGAGCTAACTTTTGGTCTTTTGGTTTGGCGTGTTCTTGATTCATGAAGATGTTCATGGTTTCGAATCTGTGGATGGTTTAAACGAGTTTAAGCTTCTGATTCTATGTTATTTTACTTTCAAATCCATGATTTTATATGAGTGGTGAATTTAGTCAGTCGAACGGTTTGTTTGATGATGGTAGGCCTGAATGGATGATCTGAAATTGTTGATTTTATGATTATGAACATGAATGATAAATGTATGCTTTGTGAATGTGTAGAACAAAATCTGTATGCTCCGTTTATTTGTGGGTACTTAGTTGTATGTTGTTATGGATCCTCATTTTTGGGCGTTCTTGTGACTCTATTGAGTAGGGGCAGTTTGTATGTCTTGGGTAGAATTTGTGCATGTTGTTAGGCCAGAAGTCTGGTTGAATATATGATGGATGTGAGTATTCTGGTATCTGTGATGATTGTTGATGAATTTTGGGTCTCTGGAAAGTCTGGGATGTTAGAGGAATTGGTTGAGTAGACTCAATCGAATCTGTTTGGATTTGGAATAGAACCATTCGATGTTTGAATAACGTAATCTGTTATTATCCATTCTTTTTATTACTTCGTCTGGTTCCTCATTTCGTTATGCGCGCTATTCTCCAATATTTTCGAATGACCAAATATAAAATTCCGCTAATTGGAAATACTAACGTGCAATTCGTGTGGTTTATTTTCTAAGATTTTCAATCTAACTAAAGTGTTTTCCTCGGTGCAGAGTGATAGGTAAAATGGCGTTCAGAGGAAAAGAAATGATGAAGAAAATTCAGAAGACGGTGGGAGAGAATGGTTTGAGTCAAAGAGATAAGAAAACGTTGGAGAAAAGCGTGCCTCGAAGCAAGGTTGTGATGAATCGTGCCAAACGTGGTCTCTTTGCTGGGCGACACATTCAGTTTGGGAATAGTGTCAGTGAAGATGGCGGTAACAAGTTTGTATCCAGTTCTCCGTCTATTTTTTTTTTTTTTATTTTGGTGTTAGTTTCTTCTGGTACGAGTCATGACGGAAAGTTTCATGTTGTAGCTTCTGGTGTTAGATCTATGTTTGCGGTTTCTGTTGTTTTATGAGTGTGTTAAGTTACTTTTTGAAATGGAGTTAGTTGAAAATATGGATTGAATGGTGATGTGTAGTTAATTTTTCTCTAACTCTATAAATTTCTGAGCATATTTTTCCCCCATTGAAGTAATAAATTCTACATTTCACGTTGTGATGGGAACTCTATGGAAGAGGGGACAGCTCCAGTGGAAGAAGTCAAATGTAATATTTAGAGTTGTTCTTAGTTGATGTTTTGGATGAAGCTCTCTGTAGGTAAAAGGATAGAACAATTTGAAGGGGTGAAGAGATTGAGGGATAAAGAGGATAAGGTATCCTAATTAGGTTAACTACAAAAGCTAAAGCATTGATACAAATGCAGCTTTCCAGAACCTTTCTGGTTTCAATCCCTCAAAGGATGTAAGATCCTCACAATCTGCAACGAAGTAGAGCCGTGAAAATATTCCTTCCCTGATAATCTTAGTGCCTAAAACCTTCTTCCACAAACGACCTTGGGTTTCTCTGACTAGGGCACCACAGAACAGTGTTTGAAGTACACTGTTGCTATATTTTGCTCAACTTGTTCCTGACAAATCCTCTGCAGCTGATGTTTCCCCAAGAGCTACCGAAATACATGTTCTTGAAACATAATTGGCTGTTGTGCAATGCAAAACTTACTGTGCATTTTAGTAACTGGTCAGTCAACTTTTTTGCATCCATCATTGATAAGCGTGTTGTGAGTTGTGTGCCTATGATTATGCCTGTTGTGTATAGTCCTTAAGTAAGTAGTATGACAGTGGTCAATGCTATTAATTCCGAGCTATATTGCTTGCATGAAGATTGGAATTGCTTTTCCAATCCTCTATCCTTTGCATGGGAGGCCAGCTTCCTTGCATCCCCCAGCTCAGTGGGTGGCTGCTTTTTCTAGAAGAGGGACTCTCTAGACTAGGCTCTCTGTTTTTCCTTATTTCTCTGTTTTTCTGCTTCCATTACATAACCCCTTTGTTAAAATTTTCAACAGTATAAATAAAGGATAACGTTCTGGATTAAAAAATGTGAGAGTAACGAGCTAATCATCTTTGGGTTCCTAAAAGTTGGATGGGTAAAGAGAGATGATTGATTTGCAAGTTGCCTCTGCACTTGTTTAGTACTGGAATCTGATGCATGTTAAATTGCCGAAATTCCATTTTCCATGGAGGCAGGTTGCAATCATTAATTTAAACTGTCAATTTCTTGGACTCTCCATGGATCCAACATGGGCAAAGTTTTCTTTGTCGACCCTTCTTTCAGTGATTATAATTCTGATTGAGTTCTATAATGTACTGATTATTTACCTGTTCCTGTCATTGTTTATATCAACTACCATTGTTGAAAACTTGGTCTACAAAATTCTTTAGTCTGAGATGTTAAATAATGAAATTAGTGATTTCTTGATGGTCAGCACTAATTATGTTTGGAACTATATGTCCTGTTAACAGTTGCTAATATTTGCCACACCAAATATGGAATGCAAAAGTTCTTTTTGTAGTATGTGCAATATCTCCCGTACGATAGTTATGGGTTCAATCTCTTTGTTGTTTGTTGGTTGTACACTTTTATCTTAGTAAGTTCTTTTACAATTTAAATATGTTAGAGAGAATGAAGTATTGATGTTCTTTCTCTAATGCTTTTGACAGGACAAGGAGAACTTGGAAACCGAATGTCCAGGAAAAGCGGCTCTTCAGCTACATCCTAGATCGTCACGTTCGTGTTAAAGTGACCACACATGCCATCCGATGCATAGACAAGGCAGGTGGGATTGATGAGTATTTGCTGAAAACTCCTTATCACAAGATGGACACTGAAATGGGCATTCTATGGAAGGCAAAAATTGAGAAATTGTATGAAGAGCTTGGCCAAAAGGAGGTTGTATTCTTTTCACCCGAGGCTGAAGCGAAGTTTGAGCAGGACTTTAAAGATTTGAAATTGTCTGAAAGGGAAGCACAAAAGGAGGTCAGAAGAAAGATGTACACTGGGATGAGCAAGCACGAACGGGTTCCTATTTCGTATATCTTAGCTGCTGACAAGCTCAAAGCTGGAAGCGTTGTTTCTAATTAATGTATGTTGTGTCAACTGATACTTGCGGTGTAAGCTTTATTAGCTCAGAGTGTGAAAAATCTTTTATTTGATTTTTGGATCATAGTGGTTTCTTCAGATATTCTTGTTGAAAAGCTTTAAACTTTGGGTAGTGAAAAGCATAATCTATTGTGTCAAAATAATAATATAGTTCTATTTTTCTAGCGAGACTGTATTTCCCGAGGTGCAACTTGGTAGAAATCAATAAAAAGGGTAGTGTTCTCACGTTATTTCTTGCTTTTCATTTTTCACATTTTGAGACTTTCTGGTCTGTGCTGCATACTGGCAATGTACCAGAGTCACGTTGGATGTTGATAGGAGCTTGGATTTAGAATAGAATTCATGGAAACTGGTTTTTAAGGAGAACCTCTAGGTTTTGAGCGATCTGAACTCACCCATTATATGTATGTCATTTCACTACCTAATTGACAAACAAAAAATGGAGTTTCCTGCTGCAGCTTCCATTTTATTAACACTGTTTTCATATACCGCAAGAAATTGTAGTTAATATGGTTATAAGACCAGTACAATTATATATAAGAATAGTCTTTCCGTAATGTTGTTTGATTCCCAGGTTTCCCTCTTACTTCTGCTCGATGTTTCAGTCTAAGTTTCTTTCTGCCTTTTGTAGTGGTAAACTAGTGGTTAATAACATTCCTCTGCTAAAGGACCATCTTTTGGAGTTTCTGGTATAACTGAAACTTGTTATCTTCATTCCGTTGTTAGATACATGGCAACAATGTTATAATTAAGTAGTTTTTCTTTTTTTTTTTCCTTTGAAAATGGAAAGGATGAAGGCTATCTTTACAGTAATGTTCCAAATAAAAACCAACTTTCTATTTTATACAAGATAAGAATGTAATAGATAGCTGCCAAAAAGATAAGAATGTAATAGATAGCTGCCAAATAATTGTCATGCGGTTACAACTTACAACAACAGTGTACTTTTATGCATGAATAAAATAATGCCTACTGTAAACCTACCCAGGCGTTTACCACAAGCTCTGTTAAAATAGCAAGCTTTTCTTATGGAAGGCTTTCACCATTATTGATGCAGGAAACAATAACATTAGAGAGTCTGAATTATGATATCTAGCCTTCTTTGATGTTTAAATCATTGCTTTTAGGTCCATCGTTCCTTTACTATTATTGTATGCAGGACATACAGGAGCAAATTGACAGTAACCACATTTCCAGCGTTCATCCTCAGGAGGGTAAGTTGCTTTTTGTTCTCCAAGCCAAAACTCAAGACACGAGCGAATTTGAGCCAGTCATGATCATATGTGAATTTATCTTCACCAAGCAGTGAATGATCTTTCTGATACTCATATCTGACGTGGTGCACACACAACCATAGAATAAGGGCTCATGTAGTGCAAACAAACTCCACCTGTTGTTGCTTCTTATGTTGTTCCGCTTCTGCCATATTCTTCTCCAATACTTTGGCCCTTTCAACCATCGCAGGAAATGAGCAAATACACAGGCTGGAAATTAGCACCTTCAAATCACTCCTCAGCCCATTTTCAAACTTTCTGCATTGCCACTCCTCAGTGGTAGCCATAGTGTTGAAACAAACCAAGTGCTTAAACTTGTTCGTATATTCAGAAACGGACATTCCACCTTGAACCAGTTGCAGAAACTTCACTTCCTTGGCAAAACGAACGCTGTCAGGGAAGTATTCTTCATAAAACTTGCTCCGGAATACTTCCCATGTGATGGGATTTTGGGCGTCCGTCAGGATAGCTCTCATGCTCGCCCACCAGTGGCTTGCTTCTCCAGTCAATAGATATTCTGTGAACGCCAACCTGTTCTCGTCCGGGCATCTCTTGGCGTTGAAGATTCTCTCCATGTCTCTTAGCCACTAATCTGCCTCATCAGGGAGGCACTTCCCACTGAACTTGTCCGGATGGTGTTGAAGAAAACTCTCCAAGCTCCACTCGGTTGGATGGTTAGCATTGGAAGAGGAAGCTCCTGGCGTGCCTCTGGTGGCAGTAATAATCTCCATTAACTGTCTTTGGGTAGCTTCAGAGTTGGTGCGCGCGGCCTCCAAACTCTGTAGAGCAGTTTTGTTCTTTCAAGGACACTGTAGGTTATGAGTACACTATGTTTTTGCTGTGTGCTTAATGTGTGTTTAATGAGTTATTTTTTTTAACTCTTTGAACATGACTAACGTTCGTTTTTCTCTGTGTCCCAGAGAACAAATGGCACCTACACTCCCTCCTCCACCACATCCCAATGAACCTGATGATACCACTAATGTAACATACCAAAATACAGTAATCACCATATAATAAAATTAATTACATTAAACAGTTAAACAATGCAGTCTTACACTGAAACAGGGTTCAAAAGCCGAACGGCTTAAAGTACAGAACTAAAATACAAATACAACATGATTGAAAGTTCAGAACGAACGGTTTTACAAAATCAAATAACCGAACGTCAAAACTAAAAAGCTAACATAACAAAATAACGAACACTCTAGGGCTCGGCTTTAACTTCCACTTCGACTAAGTTCTCCTCTTCAATAACGTCCTCCAAAGTAGCCTCGCCTTCTGCTCACATCCACACGGATGATCATTGCAATGATAGGACGAACGTACAGAGACAACAGACAACACAAGGAAAACAAAGGGTAAGCTTATGTAATTTAATTCATACATCAACAGATAAAATAAACATTCCAAACAACACACAAGCATATAGTTCCACATATATAATCATAAGAAATCTATCACTAGACGGACCGTCCGGACTGTATGAATCTGTGTAGCTATAGGCGTTCTTGCACCCGGGTGATGTAGTAACTGGAATAATCACATCAGCTGCCACCCGAGGTTAGCCCTATCCAAAGTACCCCTAAGGACTAGGACCTCCTGTCGTTCCCACACATGACCTACCCCCTCTACGTGAGGATGAGTACTCACGGAACATCAGGATGAACCAGCCAGCATTAGCATGCCCACAGTCATACTTTACCAAATTCCATATTCATCCATACATGAGTCGTTCCTCCCTGGAACGCTCGTTCAAAATCCACAATCGTTTAATCTTTCCATATCATGTTCACCCTTTAAAATCTTATACTTTATTCTCATTTTCATCTTTAGTTTCAAATACCTAAAATAACGAACGTTCAGTCCTCTGAAGGACGAGGACGAACGTTAAAGACGAGACCTAGAAAGACTCGTTGCAAATCAGAATAAGTCGACACATGATTATTTGACGAACGTCATTGCTACTCGAATCAGTTGAATGAACTGACTC